ATTAAAAAAAATAAACAAAACAAACGAAAGAAACTACAACAGAAAAATAATATTCTCTCTCATCAACTAGGAACTAATAACTGGAGGGCTCTTCCATACAATATAAATAGTTAAATTTCTAGCCTCTCAACCCGCAAGAGCATAAGCCACTTTGTTTATATCTCAAGAGATACTCACAAAACAACCCTCAAGTTCCAAGCTACCGTTCTCCTAATATTGTTGATAATATCCTAATGCTTGTGAAGATAACTCTCATAATTTGACCCTTATATCATCGACACTGCCTCAACACAATCTGATTCACAAATTATGTGCGACCAACTTGAGTGATTGCACAACTCCAAACCTTCTACTATTGTCAACAATTCTACACAAAGTGTATCACTATTACTTGTCGAGCTTGCAAAACCACTCTTCCAAGCTCCCACTATATCTCTCACAACACCTCTAGACCCCAAAACTCTTTGGTCACTCAACCAACTACCATCTACATTCAACTTTAGCCATAGGTATTAAGGGGGGATCAACACACATTCTCCTCAACTCTTTCTTTATTTCAAATATAGGAGATTATCCACCGTAGTTATCTCAATCTGATGCAGCACATATCAAATACTCCATCATTTTTCCTGAAAAACCATGTTGTTGCAAAACCTTCATACCCACTAGAGGATCGTACTCAACCTCATACCATCTTGATGTTGAATGACAATTGAGAATCAAGTGTCGATATCATTCATCATAAACACCCGAGCAAACCTCTGACTCATTTATGGCCATACTTCCTTTGAGTGAGGACAATCCCTTAAGGCATGTAACAAAGTCTTCGTTGAGCATGAACATGAGGGGCATGCATCACTAGACACAAGATGTCGAGAAAACTTGAATTGGTTTGTAGGTAAAGCCTTATGTAATCCTTACCAGATAAAGAATTTAACCTTCTTTGGTATATGCAGTTTCCATAAACCCTTCTATATGTGTTGTTGCAAACAAGGTGCCTTAGTTTGATGAAATTGAAAACATGAAGTTATAGTCTAACAGCTTGATACATCACCCTTTCATGTGATATGATCCCCAATACCCCTGACTAAGGGAATGCTAATATGCGAAAATCGTAGGGCCCACTCATTAGGAAGTTGAGTGTATAAGAACTTGAAATCCCAAGCTCCATTCCTCTAGCATTGCGTCATTGTCGCTTCCACATCATGAATATGAACAAATAATACATGCGTATTTAGTATGCCCATACCAAACTAGTCTTTATACCAAAATGAAGAGTTGTCATCACCCAACTGAGGTTCAAATCCCTCCCAAATATAAGGAAGAGCCTTAACAATGCTATTCCATATCTGAGATACTCCAATCTATTTCTTAGCATGCTACACCAGCTCCCTATGCAAGTACTTCTCACATTAAAGACCCACCCACGACTTTTGATCTGAATGTAAGAGGTCTCACACCAATTTTCCAAGTAAAGAAATATTCATCTATCGAGCATCATATACACCCAAATCCCTCTCCTCCTTCAATTTTGAGATGGTACTCCAGTTCACCAAAGACTAGATTCAAGCTACACCATCCTTTGCTCATAACAAATTTCACCAGACTTGATTATTCTTATTACACACTTCTTGTTGCAGGCAAAGTGACTACATACAATATACAAGAATAGAAGAATTCATAGAGTTAGTAAGTCACAAACAACCAGCCTTGTTGAGGAGCTTACCCTTCCAAGATGCTAAATAAACATTAACATAGTCTAACACCTGGTTAAAATCAGCAATGCATCCCCTTGAATCATTAGTACCCCAAAGTAGTTATAAATCTTTTGTGAGTAAATTATCCCTAGAATCATTTGTAAGTATTCAATGCATTTATTTAAGATCCTTTTTGAACATATAAACTACAACTTAACTAGATTAACTTTTAAGCCCGAAGCCTATGCAAACTCCTTCAACAATAATACCACCACTCTAACTTGTGAATCCAATGCTTTGCAAAATATAAAACCATCATCAACAAACAGTAAGTAGGGCACTGGAAGTCCATCACGAACCAACTGAATCAGACTTCACCTATGTTCATTATTCAATACTTGTCTAATAAATATAATTTTATCATTCAAGTTAATTTGTAGTTTTAATATCTTTATTTTTTAATTGATATTATATTAATTTAATACATTTTATTTTTAAATGTAAATTTATTATTATTATTATTAGATATTGTTATATTTTTATTAAAATTTAAACTTAAATATTATATTATATTTAGCTTATACATTAAGTATGTTAACAACTTATAACAAATATTTTATTTTAACTTTTAAAATTATAAAATTATGATATTGTATTTATTTAATATTATTTTTATATTAATAATAATAATTATTATTTTATCAATATTTAATCACGGTTCAATTATTAAATATTGAATCAATAGCTAGATCAATTCAATGGTAGATCTGATTTTAAAAATATTACATTTTAACTCTTAACCTTGGATTACGAAGTATAACTTGTTTTGGATACATAGAGGGGCTTAATGCCCAAAACTAAAAACTTAGGAAGAAAAACATAGTGAAATATCAACAAAAAGAGAAATCTGTAAACCTTCACTAATGGTTTCTCTGCGTTTGACTAGAATATCTATTATTTGGTTGGTTTCTCGGCAAATATGCCTATAAGTCACATCCCAATCTTAATTCCCCAAACTTATCACTCTATTTACCGTGGTATAACAAGCATGATACCTATAACACCCATCATTTAAAAATTTAATGACCAGAGAAAAGTCAGACTCAACAAACACCTATAGCATAAGACCCTTCTCCTGCATACCTTAAACTTATAATAAATTGTCCATAACTCTTTGTACCGTTGAACATATGTCCAGGTTGATTGAAAAAGTACTTAAAAAAGCACCATGATGGCCCCTTATCACACCACCACAAGAAGCTAGTCCTCCTTCTCTAACAGCCCCATCGCAGTTGAGTTTAAAACATCCCTCTGGAACCCGAAAGCACCTAATATTAAAGCTAGTATTCATCCTGTAGCTACCAAGCGGTGCTGCCTAACAATATGATTCCCTTTGTTTGGCGACAATATTTTTTCTTTAAGTTGATTGATTAACAGAGACAGTAACATACATGATACACTTTACTTATTTTATATTTATATAGTGCACGGAGGGTCTAATATATTATTAAATTTAAAGCAAAATTTAAAGTTTAAATTTTTAAAATTAATAATCACATCTTTTGATACAAAAAATAAAAGTAAGAGATTTTAAAAAGTTAATTATATTTATATATCTTTTAGAGATTGATTTTTTAAAATAAAATTTTAAAAATATAAAAAGTTACTTTTAAATTATGAAACCTATAAAAAAT